TCTGCTGCTACTAAATGTGTTTATTTTGTTGTAACACAACCAAAATACATCTCGTGTGCCGACACCTTTGAAATAAGTTATTTATAGTTGGTTTAGTGTAACGACATACCTTATCGCTATCTAATATTGCACTAATGGGTAGATAAGTGCTGATAGGTAATTTTATCTATCTAATAACAGAACATGTACTTAGTGCTGTAGCTAACCCCAGCAAAAGGTTTTCAAATCACAGACACGTAGGACTTGTCAACTTATGTCTCAGGGTGACGGACGCAGCGGCAATGCCTTTAGATCTTTGTGATTTAAAGCTCCCGCTCCCTTCGTCCCGTCGCTTAAAAAATCTGTGGATATTGAAGAACGATAGTAATAATAAATTACTTTATTCAAGGCATATTGCCAATCCTTCTACACGGCTGGTCTGTGGATTAAGTATGCGCAGAAGGCACGAGGCGCCCTGCGCGTTCAATATAATAACGGTTTCAGGATGCTGTTGGGGCTACAGCGACGTTGTAGCGCATCGTCAATGTTTGCTCAAGCGGGAGTAGACGACTTTTGCTGTGATGCGAAAAAAGACGGCGTCACTACTCTCTGGACGGCGTTCTAGCATTTTGAGAACGTTTGCGGCTCGATACGCCGATGCTTCGTCCTTTCATCTAGGTTCTGGTGAGGTGATGGGGTAATCGACGCCTCCTCGAGCGAAATAATGTGTATTTTTATGTTTTGTCTCTATATTTACTAACAATAGTCGTAAGTTTAACATTGTCTGTATTTACTAACAAGTGGGCCTTGGATGCCAAATAAATGATTTATTTATTATTGTTATTAATAATAAGAGGTCCTCTCTGTGTGAAACTACGTGAGACGCTCCAAATGTCCACAAAAAAAATTAAGAAACCTTTATAAATATCATGCCGTCATCATCAACCCATTTATACATCCCACTGCTGGGAACGGGTCTCCTTTCAGACGAGGGTTTAGTCCATAGTCCGACTTCACACGTTTTCCGAGGGTTGTGATCCTTCTTCGACATGTAGGTTTTATCACGATGTTTTCCTTCTCCGAAAAGCTCATGATAAATTTCAAATTAAATTTCGCACTTAAATAATTTCGAGAAACTCAGAGGTGCGAGCCCGGATTCGAACCCACGACCCTCTGCTTACAGTAGGTCAAACTATTAGGCTACCACGGCTCTCTCATGCACTGTAAAAACTCACTGACTGCCTAAACGTATGGAAACATTCACCTACTTTTGAAATAATTTCGAAGGTTTCGATTTTTCTGGAATCTTCGAGAACGCACCGTCTCATTTTCGACTAAAATCCCAATAAGGTCTGACGGAAAAGATAAACAAATAAGTTTTTGGTATCATATCTCCAAACAACGAGTTCCTAGTAATCTGAATAACACCTGTTAAACACAACACGTTTATGTAGCTCCAACACTCAAAATATAAAGGCTTTTCACGTCCCGCCTTTTACTTTCTTCCCTAACGATATCGTGTTTCGTGCCTTTTTCATTTTCCTGTAACTGATATCAATACAAGATATATTTTTTTTTAATTAACATTAAGTGACAGGACGAACAAGTCGTGCGCCTGATGGTAAGCTACACGCCTGTCCATAACAGTTGCAGTGCCACTCAAGAGCTTTAAATCGCAAAGGCCTGAGTGGCACTGCCACTGCGCCCGTCACCCTGAGACATAAATTGACAAGTCCCATGTGTCTGTAATTTCACCACCACCCTTACCCTTCAAAACCGGAACACAGTAATGCCGCCATTACTGCTTGGCGGCAGAAATAGGTAAGGTGGCAGTACTACCCTGGATGTACTCTTTCACGAGGAGCTCTACTACTCCAAGTTCCAATAAGTTCCAATCAGAGATGGGCAGTGAGTTAAGGCCCAATTAACTCGCCCAGGTTTTAACTGGGTTTTTACCCAAAGTGTCGGGTTTTAATCCATGCCAAACTGCCTCAGTGGCCGTATGGTTATCATGCTGGATTGCCACGCGAGGGGTCTCAGGTTCAATTCCCGACCAGGGAGAAATATTTGTGTCCATGGCACCCTCGACACAGCGTCTCCCTCACTCTGTGGTTTTCCTAGTTATAGGCTATGAGTGTGTACTTTATAAAAAAAATATCTGCCCAAAATCGTGGGCGGAAACGACGATAACGGAATTTGATATATTTATTACAAAATTTCGGTGTAAAAAACCTTTTTTAGACGAAAAATAGCTTGCAATCCTGTGAATTCTCGCTAATAAGTATGCACAATAGGGAGTTAAATATTGTGTTGGGTGTGGTGGAGAGGGCTAAAACTGTATATGTGAGGTCTTGTCTCTCACTGCGAGGGGACACGATATAGTAGAATAATCCAATAATCCACAGGGATTGACATCACAAGGCCGATATTGATACCCAAGTGTTACTGGCGTTATTAAAAATAAGATTAAAAAAAACAATGCACACTACGATTACATTTTTATAAAAATCGATTCAAGCGTACAATACATTGTACGATTTTCTTGTAACGATTTATTTCAGTGCGAATTTCAATCGAATCGATTAAACAGAAAGGCAAATCGAATCGTTTAGATCAGAAAGCAATAAACGTTTTGTAATAATATTATTAAATTTCAACAAAACTCGATTTATAACAAATATTTAGTTGTAAATAATTTTTGACCTAGATTTCAGTTTCACCCGATTAAAACTCGACCTTAACAATGGTTATCTGGTTCCAATGAATATCCGAAGGGACACGAGGGTAGGTACATTCATAGTTTGGCTGAAAAGGCCTTTAATAAAGTTATGATGGAAAAGCGATGTAATTAAGCAAGCAAGCGGACGTACTAGTATAAAGCTCCATGGAGCATTTTATTGAATTAATCTTGGGTTTCATAATAAAATTAGTGATGTAATAAAGATGTTGAAGAGATAACTTAATTTGTTGTTTTTTATTTTAACAGACAAACGTTCAACTTAAATGTCATTGCTTATAACGATGTAGTTGATTGAATATTCTGGTTTGGAAAGTGACTACAAATATTAGAAATCCAAAAGACATAACCATTTTAGTAAGTTAATTTATGGTCTCATCGCAATTATTTATTTTTGGAGCTTTGAGTAGAGTAAGATCTCTTTATGTATATGTATATATATACATATATATATATATATATATAACCGTATTTACGCACACACACACATACACACACACATAATACAACACGCACTCATAGTCAAATATCTTTTACGTGCAAAAAAGTGTTTAAATTTAATTTTAATTTAAGTTTGATCTTTTAGTAAAGTAAGTGTATTTTTTCACTATTTAAATGTTTTTCCTTTATAAACAATTAATCTTAGTAATACCTTAAGATTGTCATGTGTCATTTCCAAGGGTGAGAGCCTGGTGACTTGTAGTACAGGCGTTAAGTCTTTGACAAGCACCAGCTCCCAAAAATAAGTTATTGCATGTATCTTAAATTACTAAGAACTATATGTACGTATTTTTGTGGAGGAAGAAACGTTATTATTATTATTATTAATTGTTGACACGGAATCCCATCAAGCCGACTAGAAAAAGCTTAGTCCAAGCAATAAGAAACAAAGAGACGTTGCGCATTTCCCTTCAGGTCGGAAATCACAAACGCGTTTTAAGGGGCAATGTACACACGTCAAAAGTGTCTCTGGGTCAAACGTATTTTTGCTAAATACTGAAAATTTGTTTTTTAATTAATACTTTTTAACACCAAAGGATTTTTTTTTCATTTACAAATTCAAATTATAATATCGATCAACAAAAGCCCATCAGTGTTAAAAAAACATGATTTTTAGTAATTGATAAAAACGTGCTTGATACCTAGACATTTTTGATATGTGCATATTGTAGATGCTTCCATAATAAGATTCCGGTTGATATTAAAAATTTGGTACAAAACTATAGTGGAACAAATACTTTACACTAACGCTATTACAGTTTCTGCGTATACTGGGATCACATAAATCCATGATTGCTCGTTTAGCTCTCGCAGGTTGTCTTGATCTATATTATTTTTTTGTGGTTGTCTATATGTGTCCAAGGCACTCGCGACACTGGGTTTTTCCTAGTGTGGGGCTATATTGAGTGTGTGCGCTATTATTATTATATATTGTAAATTATAAATGTACGAAAGTGTTTATTTACATAGGAGCAACCCTTAGAGTTTACTCGTTCTTTTCATGAGAATCTGTCTTACTAATAAGTAGCAGAGTTTACAAGTGTAATTTGCTTACCAATGTTATAAAGATTGTTTGAGTTTGTGTTGAAGTTATTTTGATAGGCTTTAGCCGATTACGAGTTAATAAGTGTCGGGCTCCCTTAAGTGGTAAATCTTTTAAAATTAAATTGATTTACTTTCCAATAGTTAAGAAGCACCGATACTTGAACAGCGAGTCTTTGATCGACAATTATTTAGAAAGGCACTTCGAAACTTTACAAATCGGCTGACTATAATTACTTAAACTTTAGGTAATAGACAGAGTTGATAACACCTCTCTCAGAAATCCCGAAATGATTAAAAATAATTAAGTTATATTTTCACTCATAATCACAAAACATTTCTTCCATATATACACTGCCGTTGTGAAATATTTCATAGTTACGTATGAAAAATATATAAGAAAGTGTAATGTAATTTTAAAGAGACGTTTTTCCCCGCATTAGAGAAACCCTGTTTCGCGGATGCACACACACATAGACAATCACAAATTACACCCAAACTCACGAGTGTAACAAATGAAGGTCATACAATTATTTCTCCCGGCCTGGGTGTCGAACCCGGGACCCCTGCGTGGCAAACCAGCATGGTAGCCGTTCGTAACAATTTGGTGATAAAAAAACCTAACTTAAGTTCTTTTAACACTGCCGTTACGTTACAATGAACGTAACAACTACAATGAGAACATAAATCAAAGAAAGGAAGTACATGAAGAGTTTTTTAAATCAAATTAATGCTTGCTTACCTAGTCTGTGGAATTCAACGTGTTCTTGTTCCTTAGTTTCAGCTGAAAAAAAAAACAGAAACATTTATTAGGCTTCCTCGGGTTCCCTTTTACTGTGGGATCAATATAAGAAGGTAACGAGTCATGGTCTGCATTTTCGATTTTGCTTGAACTTGTCACGTAATAATGTACCGTATTTATATTGTTTTCCAGTAGAAAGTTTTCCAGTTTTCCAGTGTTTTCCAGTACAATGTTTTCTAAACTCCGAGTTTCGGAGCTATTCGAACTTTACGGAAGTTACCAATCTCGTAGTTATTATAATGGGTTATTTCCATCTGATCATATAGAACTGATCCACCGCCATTTTTAAATTCGAACTGATCCTCTCTATATTTTGCAATTCCACTGATCCCCTGATTGTATTTATAAGGTAAGCACAGTCAAGATAAAAAGAAGTTTTAAAATCAAATATTTATTTATTGAATTATCGTGACCAAACGTTATAATTACCACAGACAATCAATTTCTTTTTATGACAGGCCATTAACTTTAACTAATTGCAAATCACAAGTAACAAAAAAAACAGTTTTACGTAATATGCAAAATCTAAGTTTAAAGTTAAATTTATATATTTTCTTGTTTACTGTACCACAGTACCTACCAAAAATAAGCCTATAAGTACCAGGGTATCAGGTGAGTATAAAATATTAATATTTATTATTGATCCCCTGCACAGGGTAGGTATCCGATGGGAATATAAAATAAAAGTGATCCACCCGGGCATCAGTTTTAGGGGTCAAATGGAAATAATCGTCATTGCGGGGCTGCAGCCGTGCCAATACTAATTTTCATACAATATATTTAAGAAGCGCCACTTTAGCAGACTAGATATTGTATGAAAATTAATAACCCACTGCAGTGCTTCTACAAGTTTTTAATTCGAAGGCGCACGTAGATCTAAGATCAATATTCATATAAGAACATGCATTATACTGATTTATTGATCCATATTCAAATTATTGAGTGTAATTCCTTCGTAACTGTAATAAACCAATCAGCTAAAAGTTTACCTTTTAATAATAAGTTTGATTACAAGATTATTATTATACATATATTAATATTTGTATTAAAGTTACGCCAATTTAGTGTATTAGAAAAATATTCGTCTAACTCTAATTACTCCGAAAATTGAACGCAAGAAAATAAATATTCAATTAATTTCCAGACACATTCACCGCCCCACCCAAACCTAAGCAATTAATATTTATTTGTTTGAATCAAGTACCTGCCCCTGGAATCGAAGCCGTGATCTCTGCGTGGCAGACAAGCATGGTAACCGTTCAGCCACCGAGGCAGTCAAATACTATTTAAATATTTAAATACTTAACATATTTTATTATGAATTTAAAATTGATTTTAAATGTCTTATTAAGAGCCTCATTCTCCTTATAACGCTCTTGAGTAAAAAATACTATTTGGCAGTTAAGTTTCTATACCTTTCTCGTACAGAATTGTGACAAGGGAAATAGGAAATCAATTATTCTACTCTGTTCTTTTAAGACTTCGCATAGAAAAACAGGCTCACGTTGTAGGTTCATAATTATCACGTGGATATTCCAGATTCAAAACATGCGCGTAATCATTTAAACTTCTGCGATGTTCGTAACAACCTGAACTTCGTAAGATAAAGATAAGATGTAGAAATGTGTTGTGCTTAAAACAAGCCAAAACAATACAGTATATTTAAATATACAAAAGTACTGCGTAATTATAATCATTTCCTGGTTTTAAGACAGGTATTGTAAGTACATTTTCTTAACATGTATGTTATATTTCTTAACATGTATTATTTTCAATTTCATAAACTAGCCTGACATAAATGAATAATAAAAATGTTCAGAAATACAAAGCATAGTTGTCTTAAAACCTTTCATGACCTACTCTCCCTTTTCGCTGTCAACACAATGTTACAATCTTAAACCTATGGACTTAAACGTTTTTCTAAACGATTTTGTAAGATTAAAACTGAACAGCGTTTAAGTGAAAACCGCTTATTTAAAAAAAGTACAACGTTTTAACGTTTAAAATTAATAACCGGTTTCTTCCATCTTATAGGCATACACAGAAGTGGCTAGGACAGAAATTGTATCGACACTACACTAGGTACCTTCACGTTTGGATTCCACTTTCCCTTTAACATCAGGTAGAGTGGAGTCATCTGCCTGTCCTGTTATGATATTAATATTATTGTGGGATATTCCACTGATAATAAAATTTTGACCAGAAAAAGAAGAAGTTAAAGGTAGAATTTTCGCAATAATACACTAAGTTCCTTAATATAGGAGAAAAGAAAAAGTTTTTTGCGTTTGATTATATAGATTAAGAGGTAGAACTTTCCATCGTGGGCAGTGCCTTGAGGCACCGTGCCCAAGAGATTCGCGAAGTTTTCCCTTTGGTTAGGTAAACTTATTATTTTACTGGTGCGGCTGGCAGCGTTACCGGTGGGTCCTACTTCTGTTATTTGTTATTATGTAAATCAAAACAACCTAGGGCTCATATGTTATTACGCTATGATTTTAGAAAGCGGTGATTATCTGGTGTCGTATTCATAGCCCATTAGACGTTCCACTGAACAGAGATCTCCTCAAAGAGGTAATTTAGTAGCAATAGTTTAGAGCTTGTGAAACAGTTTCTCCGGGGAAGTACTGCCGCTTTACCTATTTCTGCTATATAAATCCGAACCGAAAAAACAGTGGCGCATACATTAGATATAGAACCGTTCACACGGTGTTTGTCTCGCAAATAACGCACACACATACAATAGTACATCGACTACTGCAAAAAACGTGCAGTGTAATGCCGTGTAAACGGGGGTTAGGGTGCTGGTGAAATTATTGGCACATGAGACTTGTCAACTTATGTCTCAGGTTGACGAGCACAGTTGTAGTACCCCTCAGATCTTTGAGATTTAAATCTTAAAATTGAAAGTGTTATGAAATGTTCGTCCCCTCACTTGATATCGTAATAACTTTGACAAACAATAACAACTTTCAGAAAGTTTAATTTGAAAAGTACTAAAAAAACCGACCTGTTAAAAAGTACGTGGAATTACACTTTTTGGCAAAGTTTTATTGAAATCGGTTACCGGAAAGTGCGCAAACCCGGATTCATCCCCTAGTTCGCCACTATACGGAACTTGACACAGGAGATAATAAAAAATCGGTTTTCACTACTTAAAGTATATTGAGAGAGAAAAACGCCTTGAATTGGAGAATAGCAAAATCAACCATTAAAATAATTGTTCCTTATAATAAAATATAGGCGCTATTTATAAAAATGATTTCTAATGATTTCCAATAAAAAAAGAATCATCAAAATCGGTTCACAAATACCGCGTAACATACATACAAAAAAAAACATACAGTCGAAACTCCTCCTTTTTTGAAGACGGTTAAAAAAAGGAATTGTCTTAGACGTGCAGGTATACCAAATGTACAGACGGCGACACATCGAGCTACATTCGCATTGACAGATCTTATTCTGTCGCACCGGAAGCGATATTCGAACAAAAATGTATAGCTTGCTATGCCGTTGATTGTACATAACTTAAAAATTAAAATCACTTTGACGACATTCGTGGTCGGGTGGCTTACACGTCGATTTTCATGGTGACGCCATCTCTGAGGTCCTGGGTCCGATTCCGGCCAGGTCAATATAGAAAACTAACTTTTCTATATATTGTCTCGAGTCTGGGGTCTTTGTGGTACAGTTGTTTTCGATTACCATCACGCAAGTGATTTAATTACTTGTTTTGTAATCGGAGCAACGTACGTGATGGTTTCAAATAATAAAAAAGTAAGTGTCAAATTATTGTAGAGAGTTGTCATTGTGAAATTTTTTATCAACCATCTTGTGATGACGATAAGAACCCTGTGGTTCTTATCATGGTATTTTTATTTTACCGATATTTGTGAACGATTACATGGTCAATAGCAGTGGAGGTCCTTGTGAATGTGATCGTCCAGGGAAGTACACTGCCACCTTACCTATTTCTGCCGCCAAGCAGTAATGTCAGCATTTCTATGTTCCGGTTTTGAAGGGTGCAGTTGAAATTACAGGCACGTAGGACTTGTCAACTTATGCTTCAGGGTGACGAGATCTTTGGACTTCTTTGCATGCTTAGAAGCCAATTTTACGGTTTCCGCGGGACGATATCTCGAGTCATTGACTAGAGACAGCAGAATCATATAAGTGTTGTGCATTCCGAATAATTAATGTTTTAAAATTTTATGGTTAATAATGTACTTGCGATATATTCCATGATTTGTCTAATTTTTATTTTGTATCAATTCGTTTCTAAACATGACCTCATTGCTATTTCAATTTATGATATTAGCTTGAGAATTACTATTGTGTTTGGATATCAATCTGTAAGCAATGTGTAACATAGGAAATGAAACTATTTTTCCGGATTTAAATCGCGTATATTCGTTTCGCGTATGTACGTTTCGGGCCCTTTACATGTCACATGGTCACGGTTGACTGAGGTGGTACAGTCTCCAACCAGTTATAGACTGTACCACCTCAGTCAACCGTGACCATGGGACCTGTAAAGGGCCCGAAACGTCGGTTTGTTTGAAAAAACAAATATACGCGATTTAAATCCGGAAAAATAGTTTCATTTCCTATGTGTAACAATCGCGAAAACCTAAGAACTCGAAATGTGTAATATAATAAATAAGCGAGCGCAGTGGTAGTACCCTCTCAGATCTTTGCAACTTAAAGCTCTGGGTACTGCAACTGTTATGGACAGGCGTGTAGCTTACCATCAGTTTCGTCAATTAATATTAAAAAACAACGCTCCATGGTCATTTAGTTAATGACCACGAAATTGTTCTTGGTTTTTCTCTTACAAAAATCTTCAACAGCATTATGAGCAGACATAAACGATTTTTAATAACGATATATTATATAATAAACGTCAACCACTTTTTTACCCAAAGGATGGTTATTACACCTAACTAGATACGTACCGCTGCGTGAAGTACTACGAAGAAGAGCTA